ATATGGGAGTGATTATCATTTATTTTAAATTAGAAAACTAAGGCTGAAATTGATGAACCAAAAATCTAATAGCTTATCATTGGTTAAGCTGGTATGTCTGAGATTTCAATAAAATTCAGTCTCATTCCATGAGCAACAATCTTAACTTTTATGCCATATAAAATTACATTGAACTGAGTCATATATGGCTTTTCATAAGGAACTTTGGAGAATATATTATATTTTGATTCTTGCCTTAAGAAGATTTCAGTGGAAACAAGAAAGAAAACATGTGCATATGAATTATTCAATTTTATTCAAGAGAAAATAACTGCAATATTAAAAGCATTGTATTATCAGCTATTAAAAACAAAAATTGGAAAAAGGAATGAAACTCTCTCTCAGATCTAGAGTAGTTTATAGTCTAGTGTCAGTGAGAGACCTACACAGGGTTCAAAATTGTGAGATTAATTCCACTGGGAAGAATAAAACAAGACATTTTTTAGTAGATAGAATTAAACTGAAATTTATGTTATGGATATAGTTTGCCTGATGAAGATATTGATTTTAGGTTTTTCATTTAAAGTAGATACAGCATTTCTATGTGGAAGAGGAGATTTTAAGAAAAAAATATTGAAGGCATTATCTGGAAATAGCAAGCTGTAGCTTACTGGAATAGTAGGTGAATATGAGATGTTTAAAAAGTTTTTTATCTCACGGTGGCATTGAGGAAGAGGAAGACATAGAGAGGTACATGGGAGGTACAGAAAACAAAGATGAACCCTTTTGCACAAACAGTACTGCATTATCAGTGAAGGCAAACATCGATATATGTGTGGGTAGATGGGTGGACAGGCTGAACTATTAAGAATGTCTATGCAGGTGGGAGTGTGCCCAAGACCATATATAGCATTGGCAGACAACTTTTCTACAAGTGTATTTGTATGCTTTGTAAAAATTCCCAGGTATATAGTAGAGCTGATGAAGGACAAGGTTGTAGTCACTTCTTGGCCACATCCAGCTATCCAGAGGGAGCAAGTAGTTGCACTGTGGGTCCCAAGCCCATAGTCACAGGGAACATAAGCCTAAATTGGCACAGCATACTACACAAAAACATTGTTCCACATCCTACTTTGGAGAGTAGTGACTGGAATCTTAAAAGTTTGCAAGCAGCCAAATAGATGCAACAATGAGTCTCTCCTCGTCCAGAGCAAAGAAGAATGAAGAAAACCAAAGATGCCTGGTGCTCTGGTTACCTGGTGTCACTCTGACAAGAATATATACCACAAATGGGATGGCCTTAATAAACAGAAGTTTATTCTTACAATTTGGAGGCTTTAAGTCCAAGTTCAAAGTGCCAGGCTCTAGGGGCTGGGTGAAAGCCCCTCAACCTTGAGGTCCAGCTCTGCCTCCTGCTCCCGGCCCACTGGAACTAGAGGTATTTCTTCACTCAGACAGCTGCTGGCTGCTGAGGCTGAGAAGCCCCAAGGTTGACAAGTAAAAAGGCACAGTCCCGATGGTACCAAACCACACGGCCAGCCATTAACTTAAGTCCATTGTACGTCCCAAGGTCGACAAAGCATAGCAGGCTGCTGAGCAACAACACAGCTACATGCAGGGTCCAAGCATGCCAGAGGCTAGCTACTATCCCCAAGGCTTCTCCTTATATACAGGAAGCAGACCATATCCCAAAGACAGCTACTCAGCTACTTGTGGTAGATTCCACCATAGAGTTGTCAGTCTCATCATGGGGGAATAACTACCACCAGCTGCCAAGCCACTCAACCAGGTCCAGCTAAGTTGACACACAAACATAACCACCACATATGGAAATAATTAGTCCAAGTGACTGGTACACCATGCGATCCTCAGCCTATATGACTATGAGACCAGAAGAACTAGATGATGCCTGGCTACCACTGTCAACCACTTGGAGAGGGATTTATGTAGGAAATCCTGGATAGAGTAGAAAAACAATATGGAACAAAACTCAAAATCATTTGAAAAAAAGATCAGGTTTGCTGGTCTTAATAGAGTCTGGTGGAACCACTGAGACTATATCCCCTAGCTGCCCTTCAGGTCTGGAACTGAACCCACTCCTGTGGCTTCCAGCCAAAGGACAGACATATGAGGTGAACATTTACATTACATAGATATACTCCTTGCAGAGAACAATCATGGGGCAATAGAAGGGCTGTGTATGAACAGGGAGACAGCCTGAGGGGCAAGAGTTATGGGAGGGAAGGACACAGGGAAGAAGTAACTATTAAGAGGAAGTGGGAGGGAAGCTGTTGCATTGTGGGAAATTGCAGTCAATATCATGAAACAAAGGGTATGTGAGCTGCTGTATGGAAAGTGAATTTGCTCTGTAAACTTTCACACAAATCACAATGAAAAAAAAAAGTTTTGTATTTTGCTTAGGATCAGTCTTTGAAATTGGAAAACAGAGAAGAGAGGATCAAAGTTATCATTTTGAAAAGAGACAACAATATAGAAATAATAAATTATTTTATAAGACCACAAAAATGGTTCACTTTATCATAGATCAGATATATTAGAAGACATTCTTGAATAAAGCTTATAAAGTAGCACTGTCTAAAAGAGGCCTGATATCAATGTAAGTTAATCGCAGGAAATATTATTGACCAATAGCTAAACCCCACCACATTCAGTGCATGATCACGAAGTGAGCTTCAAAACAGTAAAATATTCTTATCTTTATTCAGCAAACCCATCAATCAGGTTATCTGAATCCTATGGATAGTATGCTGGTCCCCACACAGGATATCAGGACTGACACAATAGGGCTAAAAGCAGAATGAGAAAGACAATTTAAGTGTATATCCAAGATGGACAGGAAAGGGTGGGGTTGCAGAGAGTGCATGAAATCTGATGAAGACAGCTAGGATAGGATGAAGCTAGAACTTGAATAAGCTATTGCACACCTGATGATAAGGACACACTCTTTCACTTAAAACACACACACACACACACACAAAATCAGTTTTCTTAAAGTACAAAGTATTCATTAGAAAGAAGGAAAGAACTATAGGAAATTGATCTTCCAGTGAAGTGGCCTTAACTAAATATATTAAGAAGATCTTGCAAGACTATAGGAGGCAGTAGATGGCACATGTCACTCATTCACCTATAAAAATCAAAGTTCAGAAGATAATTCTGTATCACCATGAAAAACCCAATCACACCACAAAACCAGGCTGAGCTATATCAGGCTGAACCAAGAGAGCTAATACACATTTGTGTACTAAGCCATTCAGGAAATTAAGAAACATTTGAAAATGTTGGAACATTTGTTGTTTAATTCATAAGCCATTTCACTCTAATTAATCTCCTGTAATTATGGCTAGACAAGTCTCTGGGTAAACTTCCAAGTAGCTCCAGAATCCAAAACAAAAAACGAACAAACAAAAATGCAACAGGAGCCAAGATAGGAATATCTCCAGAATCATTTGAAATAGTGTGTGAAGAAAAACCCAAACTTATTCATGTAGTACCTATGCACCATGAAAATGATTCTGTGTTATTGATTTCTGTTCCCAAGGTCAAGTTTCATTTGTTTCATATTTTACAAACTTCTTAGCAATTTTTGGATTCCCTGCTTGATCTCCTTGGTTCTCACACCATAAATAATGGGATTCAGAGCTGGAGGTATGAGATGGTGCAGAATGTTGAGCAGAATGGGGACATTTGGGGGAATACTCTTTCTGGCCAGGTTAGTGATGACCAAAACCAGTAAGACTGTGCTGAAGAAAAGGATGAGGATGAAGTGGGAACCACAAGTGCCTAGAGATTTGGCCATAGCTCCCTCAGCCCTGAATCTAAGCACAGCTTTCAAGATAAAGGAATAGGAGAGAAGAATAAGGATGAGGTCAGAGCCCAGGAGGGTCCAACCTACCACAAACTGATAAAGTTGATTGAAGGTGGCATCATCACAGGAAAGTTTAGATACAGACATATTGGTACAGATGCAGTTCTTGATAATGTTTTTTGCACAGTATCTGAGTTGGGAAGAAAGTATGGGGATAGGCATAGTAAGAAAGCCATTTCGTGCCACAATGAAGATGGCAGCCCTAGCCACAAACTGGTCAGTGATGATGGATGGATATCGCAGGGGATGGCAGATGGCTACGTAGCGGTCACAGGCCATGACCATAAATGTGCAAGATTCCATGGTCAAGAAACTGTTCATAATGAACATCTGGAGAAAGCAGGCAGGGAAACTGATAGACTTATTGTCAAACCAGAAAATGTCCAAGAGCTTGGGGATGACAGTGAGGCAGAGCACAATGTCCAGCAGGGAGAGGAGGCTGAGCAGGTAGTACATGGGCTCGTGCAGGGAGGCCTCCAGCCGGGTGGTGATCAGGAGGGTGGCATTCGCCCCCATGGCCAAGAAGAAGAGCAGACTGAGGGGCAGGGACAACCATTGCTGCCAACTCTGGAAGTTAGGGAAGCAGACGAAGAGGAATTCGGTGATTGAAGCTGTGGAGGAGTTGTTCAGTGATGCCATGTGCCGTATCCTGACCAGACACTTCAGAACAGACACTTCTGTAAACTTTAGAAGGGGAGACAGAAATAAATCCATCCAGATAAGATGAATACCCATAAGAAGATAACTTATTTTTGTTAAAAAGAAAGAAAGAAAAATAATAACATTTACATGGTTGGCAGTATTCTAAGTGTTTTATAGTTATAAATCCATCCATTCTATTAAAAACCCTGGGAGTACAATGGCATAGGACCTCTGGTAGTGTAGTGCCTAGGGCACTGGACTGCTAACCAGATGGATGGTGGTTAAAACCCATGAGCCACTCCTCAGAAGAAAGGATGGGCAATCTATTTCTGTAGTGATACCACCTCGGAAACCCAAGGAGAGGTCGCTATGAGTCAGATCCAAGTCGATGGCAGTGTGTTGCATTTCTGATTTGCTTGGAAAAATTCCTATTTACGTCCCTTTTCACTCTTAAGTGTTTCTAAATTTGGATGATAAATTATATAATCATCCTCCCTATAAGAGAAGAACCATTGTCATGTCCAGTTTTACAGATGGAAACAAAGGCAAAAGTAAGTAAAGTCGTTTTATTAAAATCACAGTGGTGATTTGAAACCATGAAGTCAGCAACTATGGCTGAAGCCCTCAGCCACTGCCCTTTTCTCCATCTACAAAATACATATGCAAGTCCTACTACTAGAGCAGATCGGCCACAGACACTACCAGAGCCAACAGAACTATGCGAAGAAGAGGATGAGGACGAGTACACTTATGTGAGAAGAAGCTTCCTCTGTCCTTCCCACAAAGGAAGACATCCCAGGCAAAGGAAACATCAGGACTAAGTGAGTCACAAGAGAGTATCTGAAGACATTATTAGAGTTATGACTGTCATTTATACAGGAAACACACACACACACCTGTTGCTGTCAAGTCAATTCTAACTAAGTGACCCTATAGGACACAATAGAACTGTCCCATAGTGCTTCCAAAGCTGTAATCTTTATGAAAGCAAACTGCCACATCTTTCTCCCATGGAGTGTCGCGTGGGTTCAACTGCACTTAACCACTGTACCACCAGGGGTCCTTAACAGGAACTTTGAGAGATTTAAAAAGAGGAATAGACTTTGAGATTTTAAAGAATATGAAAAAAAAAAAAATCTCATTGTCTAAGGTAGAAAGTTGAGATGAGACCAAAAAGTTTCAATTGTCAGTAATTATAATCCAATGATATTACTTTTTCCAAGAGCAAAGGTTAGCAGCAACTGCTGTCTTCATCTCACTGCACCTGGATTTTCCACCAATCATAAACCCAGACTAAATAGATGACCACACATTCCTGGCCTGGTACACCAAGACTGTTAGCAAATAAATTTAGGACAGTTTTGAGCTAACCTGTTATGTTGTTGTTATGCTAAGACTTATTTCAGAAAACTCATTGACATTAGGTTAGCAGTAAGTCAAAGCACTATGTCCAGCAAGGAAAGGAGGCCAAAAATGTAACATACGGACTCATGCAGAGAAAGTGCCAGCAATGATGATCAGGAGGGTGGCAACAGGATTCTACTCACAGAGACTATGTATCTGAGGAAGCCCAAACTCAGCCAGATTTTATCAACAGTGGCAGGAGTCCTAATGAACACTGGATGTCCTTAAAGTCTGCTTTCCTCTCTATTCTGGGAGAGCAGAATTCTGTTAGTCAGTGGTGAGATGTAAGTGTGAATGTTTGATAACAGATTCAGAGGTTGGAATAAACAAATAATTTTCCCTTCTGTTTTTCTTACTCTATCATCATATTCCATATAATTTATAGCAGCACTGTCCAAGAGAAATATAGAGTAAGACCATATGAAATCTTAAATTTCTAATAGCCATATTTAAAAAAAATAAATGGAAGAGGTGACTAATTTAATAGCATATTGTTTAAGTCAATATATCCAAAATAGTATCACTTTAACAAGTAATAAATATTTAAACACTATTATTTTTATTTAAACATTATTAAAGAGCTATTTACATTCTTGTTTTTCATATTAAGTCTCCAAAATTACATGTGCATTTCATACTTACAGCACAGGGTAATTTAGACCAGCCACATTTCAGGTTCTCAATAGCAACATGTGACTAGTGGATACTGTGTTGGACA